ACCTCTTAAAGGGCCGGCATGAAGGGGTTAAAAAAATCAATCCAAGTTGCTAAAGATATGTTACCACTATTATCTGTGATCTTTGTGTGAGACTCAAGTCTACTGTATGACACTATGATCAGCATACTGAAACATTAAATTTCAACAGCCCCTGGGACCTGATGCAAAATTCAAACCAGGGCATGCTATAATGTGGACGGATGGTAATGATAACTTGATCTACAAAGAAGCTCTAATAATGAATTATGCTGCTTCCAGATTTTCCCTCTTTACAATTCCCTGTCGTTTTGCAGCATGAATCATTTTGATACATTTAGGTAATTAGTTACTCTTCCTGATTATTAGCAGCCTGTCAAATAAGCCTGGAAGTTTATGTCTGATTGATTGCAGAACTCTGCCTGAGGTCATGGTGATAATGGAGCTTTTTGCTTTCCTTGCAGTTGATTTCATAGGTGGCTTTGACTCCTATGGCTACCAGGGTCCTCAGAAGACATCTCACTTACAGCTGCAGCCCATGTATATGTAAGTATTTCATTTTCATGCATGCTGCGAGAGACAGTTATTAAAAGCCTACTTCTGCAAAAGGATAAAAAAAATACAAATTAAACGCATTCACATTTCTCTCTGTTCTGACCTGAGGCTACATCATCCAATATTAAGCTAGATATTACTCTCCTCACTACACAGTGTAATGATTTTTTGGAAATGCTGTCTGCTTAGCTTAAAATGGACTCTTTCCACATTTTCTAATGGTTTTTGTCTTAAATCTGTTAAACGAAAGTTCTCACACATCATTATTTTAATTTTCTCTTTTAAAGTGTTAAAGTGACATTCAAATGTTCTATCCTGATACTATTAATCTACTATAGAATGATGCTACTGCCTTTTTTTTTTTTAACAGCACAAACATTTTTTAATTTTTTAAATTGTTCTCGTTTTAAAATAGTTTTAGCTAAAAAACACTCTGTAAGATAATTATCAATCTTTTCCCACAGCAAGACTGTGTAAAACAGCAGAAGTGAGACCGATGAGTAGACATAAGTGTTTTAAGATCACAGGTTGCAAAGCTTGACCCTGACCACTTCTCACTTGTGTGTGTTTTGGTGGAAATTTGTCTCATATCTTTGCATTATTGTCACAGATATCTGCACTCCTGATTCAGTTGTTTGCGAAGGTCTGCATGTACAGAGGTTTCAAATAAAGAGAAAATTGTATCAATCCTTTTGAAAGGCAAAGCAACATTAAACAGGAGCAATGAGATGCATAGTGAGACAGATTTATTACAAAGTTACAGCCTGAGTCATACATTCCTCCAAAATCCAGCACTTGCAACTACATTAAACCTGACCCTGATCACTACATAAAGTAGTTGTAAACCCTTACATTTACCCAGTGGAGTGACTAGCTTCATAGACAGTGGGATGAAAAATAAATTCTTACATAAACTGAATCTGTTTATCTGCAGCCTTCTCTTCTTTACAGCCTCCTAAACCACACAGATCAAAGGCTTTTCTCAGCTCCAGAAGGCAGGGGGTGAGGATCTGATGTCACCCTGCACAGAATGAAGACAGCTCAGTGTAACCTGAGATCTGAGTGGAGGGAATGGACACACCACCCCTACACAGTCTCACAGGAAAATATGAACAGCTGAGTCTGTCATTCACTTTCTCTGTGCTGGAGGGGAGTGGGTCCTCTCCCAGGATTCTGTGCAGATAGCAGAGGGAGGAGAGATCAGAAAATAACCACAACAGGTGCTTTGGGTTGAGGCAAATACACACTATGGAGCGATATTGTCAGGTTTCGGTGGTAGATCACCAACTTGGGGTTCCCCAGGGCGCAAAGTCTAAGCCCCAGCCGGCTTAGAAGATGGTGGGGATTGACTTTCAGCAATCTGGAACCAGATCATCGCTCCCAGGTATGCCCAACTGAGGATGAGAAGACCACTAGAGTACAAACAGCAGGAGACAGAAGGAAATCCAGGAAACAAGATGAGGTCAGGACGGACAGCAGGCAAGTACAGATGGCAGACGAAGCCAGGGTCAGTACATGGAAAATCAGATAGTGAATATACAAATAGTAAGCAAACAGGATCTCAGAGAAAAGGGAAGATGCTCAAGCAATGCGGGCTACACTGAGCATGTCTTATATAGGCAAGCAACCTGGGAGGCTGGCCAGGAAGTGATGAAAGGAAAAGGAAATTTGAACCCACAGAATAGCAAGCAGTGCCCATAGGTGAGCACAGAAGTCAGACAACACATGTAAAATAATCAGGTCTAGGAGAACCACTGCAGCAAGGAGGTAAGAAAACCTTCTCAGGAACACTGTAGGCTGAATCGTGACAGATATGCTTTCTTCATTTTTCATTTCAGAGGTTTACAACCATTTTAATTATGTGCCTATACAGACTGAACATCTGTCTTATCTTCAGTATTAAATCTGTCTTTGAACTTTGCACACTGTTGCACTTGACTACCCAGGAATAGAGACACACAGGTCTGTAAACCTGTTGCAGAGACTTTGCTGAAGGAGATGCAGCCTGATTTGCAAAAAATATGCGTGACAAATGTCCCCCAAGACCTCTTGTGGGTTTTGTACTACAAGTGCACCTGATACAGTTGATAATTCACTTAATAAATTCCCAATTCTATGCTCTCAAGCACTTTTTAAAAATACTTGGTTGTCCTTATTTAGGCACACTCCCATGCTCAACTTTTTGCTGGTAATTGCATTGTTACTGAACATTACTTATCACAGCAAAGCATACAGAAGACAAATGGTTTCTGCTGCTTTGAAGGGTGTGATATCCAATCACTGCCTTTACATGCCTAAGCAGGATTTGTTTTGGTAACACTTTGTTTGAGTTGATTGTAGCCATATTAGTGCATTTGCGACAGAAACAATTGAGTACTGTCCGTGATACTTTTTTTATTTGCACTAACATACAATTTTGAGGACAAGCTTTCGGGGAATGTCCCCTTCTTCAAGGCCTAAGCAATACTCAAGAAGAAGGGGACATTCCCCGAAAGCTTGTCCTCAAAATTGTATGTTAGTGCAAATAAAAAAAGTATCATGGACAGTACTCAATTGTTTCTTTTGGTAACACAAAAGTATTCACACACAGATTTGTCATTTTGAAAAGAGCAGAAATAAGGCAGGCCATAGTTTGCAGGAAAGAAAATGAATCATCAACACAGTCAGTGTTGATGGTGGAATCCCTCCCACAGATCTATTGTGTTCTCTCAGTGGAGGGGTTGCTGGGAGCTGGCTCTGCTGGGAGAACACAGTGATTATTGCTAGCAGCTATAGCCTCTGGCTATAATCGCATGCTAAAATCTGACATGCCAAGTCTTTAAACAATGAAATTGGGTGCAATCAGTCTGCCCATAGATGGTTTGAATCTCGGCTGGTCCCTGCTGAACCGACTGAGATTTGACCCATCTCTAGATGGCTTAACTGATTTTGGCCTAGATCATTTGTTGCCCAGAGTCCTAGCTGTGGGAAAGCCATTTCTGGCAGAATGGAACAATACATTTTTATTTATGCATTTAATATATGAAGCAAAAATAATTATAATACAACTGAAAACCCAAACTGTGATTTTATAGGAAAATCAGTAGTTTATAGTTGTGCTCACTTCGCTCCACCACCGATCCATTCTTTGCAAGAAGCAAAGAGAAATCACCCAGTAGTTCAGGTATAGGGTAATATGCAACTCACACCCCTTTTTTTTCATATGACAGCACTAGTGGTAGGTTATTAGCTGATTCAGAAACCAGCAGCATCACAAGTGGGTGAGGAGAAAGACCTCAGCTCTAGATGAACCTCAACTACGATCAAATTGAAGCTTACAAAAGGCTTTTTCTCTGCATTAAAGTAAAGTAATGCAGCGCAACCATAAAATTATAAAATAGTACTTACAATCTTATATGTGCGTATATAATGGTGATGTTCAGTCTGTTATGCTCTTGAGAATCAGTATACGTAACTCATGATATCATACAATGCGTACTTCTAAGCTCCCATAAAGACAACACAAAATCAGTGCTATAAATAGTGCACACGAAAACACAATCCTAAATAGTGATCTGTCCCTTTAAGTCCTAAATCATATGATGTGGTCCTCCGTGGTACACTGCTTGTATATGGTGATACAAAAATACCCACAAAAAGTGTCAATCAAATACAGTCTAAATAGTGATGGAACGTTCCTTTAAATCCACTGTACTTTAAGTGAACCAGTGTGAACACACTACTGCATAAACATGTACGGTGCTTCTGTATCACCCCTTAGTGTTCTTCCACCTTCAACACACTATTGCGCTCACCTCCAAGTTTGACCCACAATCACAGGTCAAACTGCGCCTTTCCCTTTAACCCGGGAGGGTATAATTGTACACAGATCTCCACTGTTGTATTCCAGCACTTTTAAGCAGATCCAGCTCGATTGAAATGTGTCCTTTTGGGACACTACAGGGGTAAAACTCACTATACAGTGTATTTTGCTCAATGTGTACTCTAAGTACACAGATGACGTCAAGCCACTAACTGGATTTTGACGTGCCACCATTTTGACAGGGGGATTTCCATACATATTGAGCAAAATACACTGTATAGTGAGTTTTAACCCTGTAGTGTCCCAGAAGGACACATTTTAATCGAGCTGGATCTGCTTAAAAGTGCTGGAATACAGCGGTGGAGATCTGTGTACCATTATACCCTCCCGGTTAAAGGGAAAGGCGCAGTTTGACCTATTATTGTGGTTCAAACTTGGAGGTGAGCACAATAGTGTGTTGAAGGTGGAAGAACACTAAGGGGTGACACAGAAGCACCGTACATGTTTATGCAGTAATGTGATTACACTGGTTCACTCAAAGTACAGTGGATTTAAAGGGACGTTCCATCACTATTTAGACCAGGCCTTGAAATTTCCATTCGCTTGCTCGTATTGGCGATTGGAAATTATGGTGGAGGTGAGTGTGTCCCCAGGGACGTCTTGCTGAACAGGCTCGGAACTCAGGGCCGGATCTGTCACTTGGACTGGGAGCCGTCAGACTGCTCAATAGTTGAGCAAAGTGAAAGCAAAGGAAGGAGTGTGTGCTGTGCTCTCTGCCTCCCCCTAGAGTGCAGTACCCAACTCTGTGAGTGAAGGCAACGAAGTACTGCAACTTTTTATAGGGCTGTGTGTGTGTGTACTTGTATGTGTGTGTACATGTGTCTGTGTGTGTGTACATGTGTCTGCGTGCGTGTACATGTGTGTGTGTGCATGTACATGTGTGTTTATGTACGTACATGTGTCTGTGTGTACATGTGTCTGTGTAAGTATGTACATGTGTCTGTGTGTATGTACATGTGTCTGTGTGTGTATTTCTGTGTATGTATATGTGTCTGTGTGTATGTACATGTATGTGTGTATGTACATATGTCTCTGTGCGTGTATGTACATGTTTCTGTGTGTGTATGTATGTACTTGTCTGTGTGTGTGTACAGGTGTCTCTGTTTGTGTGTGTATATACATGTGTCTGTGTGTAAACCTACATGTTTGGGTGGTTTGGTCAGGTTCAGGATTATGTGGTTATTATGAGTGGTAGAGTATGGGGCATTTGAGATACTGCTGGGTTGGATAGTAGGTAGGATATGCTTGGTAGAGTTATGGTTTTGTGATTGAAAGATTATGGGGGGTTATGGTTGTATGCGGTGCATGGTCTAAGTATGATGGAGTGTTTAGGGGGACATTGGTGGCCCTGATGTAATGTGGGGGGACTCTGGGGACCCTGATGTAATGTGGGTAACATTTAACAGTGTCATTTCATGAAAGAATTTACGAGGGCGTGTTTATGGGCAGAATTAGGGGTGTAGCAGGATAGGGGTTGGGTGGGGCAATTGGTGGCGAGTAACTCTTAAGGCCTGGCTAGTACCTCAGGACTTGAAATTTTAAACCCTGATTTAGACTGTATTTGATTGACACTTTTTGTGGGTGTATTTGTATCACCATATACAAGCAGTAGACCACGTCATATGATTTAAAGATTTTAAAGGGACAGATCACTATTTAGGATTGTGTATTAGTATGCACTATTTATAGCACTGATTTTTTGTTGATTTATGGGAGCTTAGAAGGAGTACGCACTGTATGATATCATGAGTTACGTATACTGATTCTCAAGAGCATAACAGACTGAACATCACCATTTATATACGCACGTATAAGATTGTAAGCACTATTTTATAATTTTATGGTTGCGCTGCATTTTTTTACTTTATTCACTTTGTTATATGTGGGAACACATTATATGCTAGCTGCATATTTATTTAGGATATTTTGTTGTGCTGAAGGTTTTTCTATACACATTTTTCTCTGCATTACCAGCAGCAAAGTGGCAAACATGGGAAGAAATGGTATAGCTGGTCATACACTAATAGATTTATTTCTTTCAGACTGCAGGTTGAAGGAAAGAAATCTAACAGCTTTCTTTATTCATACAAATAGTGTGGGTAGATGAATACCCATGCTGTGCTATTGTATTCTGACAGCTGCTAATGTTGGCTTGCAGAGTACGCAAACTGTGTCTACACCTAGAGCTGCACAGATTGTTTTTATCTGCTGCAGATGCCCTAACTGCATAGGCAATTTTTTCATAAAGGTGAACTAACCCTTTAACACAAACCTGGGTCCAGATGTCAAAAAGTGAACATTTGCCAAAAGTACATATATTATTTATCTAATGGATTTATTTGTAATATGTAAAAGATCCTCCCTCTGCCCTGTTTTTAAAACACAAAGATTTTCGTGGTGGATGCCACCTAATAAAACATGTTATCTGTTATCTTTTGTGATTCTAGTACTCAGGTGCTGATTGATAAGATGCTGAAGCTATGTAATTTCACAAAAGTGGGCTGTTTTTGCTAATAGGATTGTAGATTGGCACTGTGTGAACAGAAACTTCAGGGAAAGTCACTATATGCAGATCTATAGATGTGTTCATATCTGATTAGAGAGACAGAGAGGGCAGCAGTACAGAAATCAAAGGTAAAAAAGTGGAAAAAAGGCATAACACTGCTTTTATGTCAATGACTTTGCCACAGGTTCATTTTTAAAAGGATCTCTGGAAATATAAAAACACCCATTAGATCTGTTGTGAAGCCCTTTCAGGTTCCATAATACTTTTTTTTTCAGTTGGGTAGTTAACTGAAATTTTTTTGTTGCTAAGTTACAACATGCCAACTGCCACATAGCCTCAAAGCATGATTGCTGTCTTCATTTAGTTATGCATATTTCAAGCATCAGCAAGGGAAGGAGTTTTCTAAGGTGGTTTATGTGAAACCTAAAAAAAACATATATAATGTAGCCTGTCAATACCATTAACAGGTTTTGTTTTGATGATTGCCCACTGTAACATATATATGTGCTATGTTCCTGACAGTCATTCCATTATTTTTCAACCCCGAGTATTAGGATAACTACATTCATTCTGCAGTGGATGTTAAAGTGTATCTAACCCCAAAAAACGAAAATGTAATATTTTGCAACTTATCAGTCCTTATATGTGGTGGTTGCTATTGTTTTCTTTTTAGGCTTTTTTCCCCCCTGTATTTCTACCTAGTAATCCAGCCAGTAACATACTTCCATCCTTAGGGTGGCTACACTAACTCATCCACTTTATCTATGAAAGAGCAGCATAGCCATCTTTGGACAGCAGCACTGTCACCCTGTGACGAGGGTTGTGTTACATGGACTAGCAGATTTAGATGGACATTAATTAAAGTGATTGTAAAGTCAAATTTTTTTTAAATAACAAACATGGTATACCTACCTGCTCTGTGCAGTAGAATTGCACAGAGCAGCTCAATCCTCCTCTTCTGGGGTCCTCCCACCAGTGCTCCTGGCTCATCCTCTTTTTGGTGTGCCACCATAGGAAGCCATTTCTTATGGTGACACACCTGTGAGCTTGATCCCGAGGCCGCTGCCTGTGTCCATAGACAGACCACATAGAGTATTACTGGATTTTAAACATTATAGGTTTTACATATCTATAGCTGCAAAAAGGACCAGCCTAAAGTCTAAGGCTCTATGTACACGGGCCTACCTTGACTTCCGGCTGTGGGGAAATGCAAATCGTGGCAAAACTGCGTTAAAACACGGTAACCGCAGTACCGCACTTTTGCCGCGTTTTGAGTTTTCCCGTGGCCGACGGTCAAAACTTTCCTATCCTAAACGTGATTCTTCTGCGTTCAGGAGAGGGATGTTTAGCCTGACCTAAACGTGGAAGCTCCTAAACTCTGCTAAAAGCCTATGTGTACATGAACACATAGTCTTTTATGGAGTTGAATTTAGAAGCTTTGGTAAAAAAATGCCAAAAGTTCCTAAACTCAACTTTAGCAGCAGAAGCAGCAGTGTACATGGAGCCTTAATCTGGCAGAACTTCATTTTCTTTCTAAAGTTCTACTTCAAGGACTATTAAGCTGCAATATATTGCATTTTTGTTCTGCAGTTTAGATAGGTAAGGGACAAACAACTTAAAGCCTAGCTCCAGCTAATTCTTTTTAAGCAGTTACAGCAACATTTATTTTTAATATTTTTTTAGTTTAAACCACATGAATAAAAGCTGAACATTACAAGCACTCGTGTCAGTGTAAAATAGTTTATCCCAACCCCTCTAACTGTCACTTTTGCTGGACAGCTTGGCCTGTTAAAGGAAGTGGAAAAATACCAGATCTATTGGCAAGACAGGTAAGAAAACTGTGTTATGGGTGCATTCAGGAAATAAATATAGCTGTTTTAATGCTGTTGACAGACGGCACTGAATATGTAATTTTGATTTTGCCTTTAGATCTACTCCAGGTACCATTTTTTCACACTATAGACATAGCCCCTTATAGACCTTAACATCTTTCTTTAAAGCCTTCCTGTAATGATGCTGCAGAAGCTGCACCATCATCACAGGCTGTGTTTTTGTGAATAGAAAAGTACAGAGAAGGGGCAAAGACATGACACTAGAACTGGTGGATGTTAAATATTGTAGCTCTACAATTTGAGGAGACTAAATGGAGGATTTTACATTACTTAAAGGAAGATGTGAATGGGTATAAAGGACTATGATGATATACAAAGGATGATGCCTGGAGTTGGGCTTTAAGTGTTGAGTGTTCAGACTGGATACCAATAGTAGTTACCTACATATTGGTAAAGTTTTTTTTAATTACCCCTGTAGCTTGCTTGCAACATATTTATGCAGAATCACCAAAGCCAGGCAATTAAAAGTTTGCAAGGTAAAGTTTAGTATTACTTTACTACTACTACTACTACTACTTAACTTTTTTTAAATCACTTAGAGGGATGTTTTTATCTGCATTACTTATGTATGCACTGTTTATTAAAAAAAACAGTATATCAATATTAATTTCCTTGTGTGTATCTTGTATTCAGGACCCCTCTATATTTTTGAGCTGATAGAGAAGTAGATTCTTAGGTGAGTAATATAAATTGCTTATTATTTTAGAAAGTACAGTTTTATCATCAATTTCTTCTGTTTTTATAATTTTTTTTTTTTTTAAATGACTGCCCATACATGTGCAGCTGCAGTAATTACTGACATCTCCACCATCAAGTAAACAGTAAATGGCACATTTCACATTCACCCATTTTCACAAGAGGTACTTTTTTTTTCCTTAGAACAATCATCAAGATTTAGTTCAGCATCCACAGTATAGTGACTCTCCTGCATTTGATAGAACTGGATGGATAATTAGCAGTGTCACCAATGGTATTTGCATATTTTCAATGCAAGCTACTGTAGCATTCTCCTAGTCAGCTAGGGGGAGCTAAACTCTCAGTTGTTAGCCAGAGGCTGTGTATCAGCCTGGTGCAACAGTCAGAGGGGTCAAATTTGAGTCAGGGTTGAGAGGCTCTGCAGTCAGCTCTCTGAGACTTCCACCTGCTCTGCAACTTTGGAGAACATTCTAAAAGCAGTCGGTGGAGGTGTGGTTGATCTGCACTTTTGAGGGATCCTGGCCAGTCCCCAACAGGAGGCTTGGCATGGGCCAGGACAGCCCTTAAAAGTGACAGAGCCTGATCAGCATCAGAAGGGCTTGGGTGGAAGATGGAGAGGAAGCGAGAGGCTTTAGAGCAGGAGCCTGGGAGGGGCCCAGAAGAGGAGGGGCTCACCTACAGGCAGAGGACCTTGGTGGGAGGAAATCTCAGGACTTCACCGGCCCCGGATCGAGGACCACCTGTGCAGCAGGAAAAAAAGAGTCCCAGCCAAAAGGCCTGGTAGCATCCACTGACCCACCAACAGCACACGAGAAGGACTGAATGAGTAAACCTGCACCCCTGGGCCAGAAAGGGCAAAGAGGCACTCTAGTGGGAAACTGGATTAGCTATCTTACCTGGGACTCTTTCACACT